ATGTCACATTCCTTGCTAAAGGAGGGTTTGGCACAGTATATAAAGCAATTTGGCTTGATGGATTTATTTTATCTTGGGATCATGAAGGAAAATACTGGAAGAGGACTGGAGAAAAACATGTTTGCCTCAAAAGTCTTGATATCTTAACAAATAAAAATAATTTTTTGCAAGAGGTAAATATTTCAGATTATTTAATTTTCATTATTTTAAACATATAATAATTATATTTTATGCTAATAAATATTTAGATTAAGAATCAACTTAAGTTTCGAGGTAAAAATGGAATTGCAATATATGGTATTACTAAAAATCCAACAAAAAATGAATATATGATGGTTATGTATTATGCAAAACTAGGTAGTCTTCGAAAAGTATTGAATAGCAGGTTTAAAAAATTAAATTGGATGTATAAATCATTGATTTTATTAAATATTGCAAGGGGACTTAAAAATATCCATGAAAAGGGTTTAATACACAAAGATTTTCATTCTGGTAATATAGTTAATCAAAATATAATTTTCAGTCAGATTACTGATTTTGGATTGTGCAAACCAGTTTCAGAAAATGATCCAGAAAAAATCTATGGTGTAATTCCATATATGGCACCTGAGACATTGAGTAGAGGAGAATATACTCAAAAATCTGATGTTTATTCTTTTGGTATGATTATGTTAGAAGTTCTAACTAGTTATCCACCATATTATAATATTTCACATGATGCAAATCTTGTAATAAAAATTTGTGAAGGACATAAACCTGAAATTAAATGTGAAATTCCTCAATTTTTCAAAGAAATAATGGAAAAATGCTGGAATTTTGAACCTTTCAACCGTCCATCTGCTGAAGAATTGATATCTCAACTTAGTAAATATTCTTATGATGGTGCAATAATGGAACAAGTTAAAGCAGCAAATAAATCAAACAAGAATTTTATTCAATATGATCCAAACGAAATGCATTCCGAAGCAATATATACAAGTAGACATTTGCATTTTCTAAAACCAAAAAAAATTGAAGATAATGGACATGGTGAGTAACTATATTTTTTTGTAATAAATGAATGATAAAATATTTACATTAATTATTATTTTAGATACAAAACAATATAATTTTGCAATTTCTGATATAAGTAAGTATTATATTTATTATATTTCTTGAATTATTTGTTTAATACATTTATCTAAATGAAATTAACAATTTTTAAATTTTGCATAGTTGAAGAAAATGAAATTCAGGAAAATTAATCTTTAATTTGATGCGAGTTTATTTGTTTTTTTATAATCTTGATATTATTGTATAACTTTTGTATTTCCCGAAAATTATTCATTTATTTTATTATATTTATATTTTATTATTTTATTTGATCACTGGAATTATAGAGTATAGCTTTATTTAAATTAAAGCAGAACAGTATGTAATCATTTAAATAAAGCATTATTACTGTCTTGGTATTTCAAAAATCTAAATATTGGAATTATTTACTATTTGTGTTTATTTATGTTTATGCTATGCAGTTTATAAATCATGTAAAGGGAAACTGAAAATCCATAAGTTTAATTTTCTTTTTTTAACTTTTATAATTGGTGCATAAATGAACAAAACAGTTGATTGTAAATCAAGCATATTTATTGTGTATAAAACTCATATATATATTTTCTTTTCTATCAAAACTAATAATATTTATTGTTATCAATAACAATAAAATTTAATAAATACATAATTATTTTTTTAGAACAAAAATTAGTATACAAAATAAAATTGCATCATGTATTCTTATTATCATTTATAATCATGTTTCCATAATTATCTCTTTGAAGATGGCATACAATTATGGATAAATAGATATTGTTCTTTTATTTAATAAAAAAAGCAATTTATAGTTTTCACTGGGAGCAGGATTGGTGAAATCTATAAAATCAGGTATTTGAATTATCCATTTATTTATTTATATTTCAATAAATAATTGAATCAATTATCCAATAGAATTCAAATCATTTTTAAAATTCATAATTCATTCTTCAAATAAATCACATATAATATATAATAACATACTTTGTTTAACACTTGAAATCACACATAAATTCATAAGGTTACATTCTATCTGTGCCAAAACTTAGGAAGATCGGATATAACCTATTGAATCTATCTTGGCGCAGTTCAAAAATAACTCAAATTAATTTTAATCTTATAATTTATTTATTTGTTAATTAACAAAGTATAATCATATATAAAACGTGACCTGAATTTTACATAAAATATAAATATATTTAAATTAAAAGATTCATAGAATATTTATCAATTTAGTTGAGTTAATTTAGTGAAATTCTTTAGGAATTGGAAAGCATGGATCAAAGTAAAAAAGTAAAACAAGTTTAAATATAGAAAATAGAAATCGCTTTGTGTTTTGGTAAGAACAAAGTGATAAATATTAATTAAATAATAGAAAAATGGAAAGGATTAATTAATAAAGTGGGAAATTAAGAATTTCACAAAAGAATGCAGTTTCTAGGAGGGAAATGATATTTAGAATGCACTTGTTTACCAAGAAGCAAGGTTAAGAGCAGAGCTTAAAAAACCATTATTCACATTTTTTATGAAAAAAGTTCTTTTTCAAAAGATAAATTGTCAAAATTTCTAATTTATGATGCAGATTGTATAATGCAAAAATGAATTTTGTCATAATATATTATTAATTGTTGATCCATCTAACACCAGCATCATTTGTTATAATAAAATTTGGGGTAGACCTCCTGCCAAAAGTATTGAACCACATGAAAATTTTTAAAAAAATATTGAATTTAAAATATGCAAAAGGCTCACAGTGTTAACTGAATGTCCAAAGTAATAACACAGAGTATTATTTTATACTTATGTTCTCAAAATGATAATTAAAGACTTAATTTAACAACTTAAGGCTCACTTTGAGGATTGGATGCCCATAATATTAACTTCTACAATTATTGTAAAAAGGGAAGTAACACCCCTCTCTTGTAAACAGGCAAGATACATCATTCCTAACATTAATAAAGTTATTCATAATATATAAACTGATGTGATAGTTTTATATAATTTATTGCTGTATTATTAAAATTGTTATTAAACTTTAATTATCTGCCTTCATTTTAAAATTCTTACATTCTTTGTTAATCTCCTGGAATTAAACAAATCTTTAATTTTTATAGTTCTCCAAATACAGACGATAACAACATACATATTATATGCAATTTATTTAGATTAGGTTTATTTGAAAATATGTGGAAAATCTTTTTTGTATTTGAATTTATTTTTGTCATATATTTTTTATTGAAAAAAAAAGGAATATTACTAATCCTTTTATAATGTATTTCAAAAACATTTATCAAGTTACATTAATTATTATTTGAAAAATATATAGCAAAATTTAATCCCCAATTAAAGATAGCACCCTTAATTATTTTTGCAAGTTCTTGATATTGCAAATTTTTAAATGAAATTGCAATATGAATCACAATTTCATAATTAATTGTAAATAATAAAGTGCATATTCAAACTCTCCATAAAATTTATCATTGATCAATTGTTGTAACTTATAAAACTTTTTAATTTAATAAGTAAATTTTCAAAAATATTAATAATTACACTTAAAGCTAAGAATAATTTGTATTTACTGTAAAAGTTTTGGACAATTTACTTGGTTAGAGATGATATTTGAAAATTTAATAATGAAGTTTTAAATATAAATAATTATTACTTTTTCAATTCTTATTTAATATATCACAGTCAACTCTTCATATAATTTTGATATAATGAACATTTATTTTAAGTTCATTTAGTATTACTTTTGATATTTTATTAATTTTTTTTTAACTATTAAGACTATGTTTGGCACTTTTTATTTATAAATAAAATTTACAAACTGCTATATTAATTGCCTACCTTAATTTAGAAACTTTATATCTTTTGAAAATGTAAATTATAAATTTTATTTAATAAATATATTTGCATTTTCTCGAATATAACTTTCTATTGAGTGAGATTGAAAAGTTACAGTATTTTTTCCGGGATGATATGCAAATACATTTTTATCTAAAACTTCTTTAGCATCCTTATTTGTATTGAAAAAATATAAAAATTCCATATATTTTATCTCTTTAAAATTTAACAAAGTCTTAATAACATTTTTTCCTACTTCATGATGAACTTGATTTTGAAAGAGTTTTGCATTTTTGAAATCATCTTCGATTTTTGTAAACATTTTCTCTTTAATAGCTGCAAAAACAATTTTAGTAAAAAAAGTGATCAAAAATCAATTATATAAAATATCCAAACTATTTTTACCTTCAAAAGGTTTTCCTTGCTGAAGTTTATCTGCCTCAGACTTTAGCTGTAAAATTCGTCCACCAATTAAATCAAGATCACCAATTTCAATTGTATTGCCCAAGCACTACGTATTAAAAATAAAAATATCAATATATTGTAAATTCTTGCAAAAAAATTCTCAAGTACTTACATTCCATTCTTCGGGAAACAAAATTTTCACTGCTGACAAATACAGCAATGTATGAGCTTTCATCAGCATCTCTTTTTGCTGCTTCTTGAAGGATGTCGAGGATTTTTGGATTTTTTTTTTTAACCAATCGATTAATATTATCATAAATAATAACCAGAGGTTTACCATGTTTTGCTTTATACGCTGCAGAAACATTTCGAAAAATTTCCATAACACTTTCCCATTGAATAATAGTCTTATCATTAGTTATACCAAATTTAGAAAGAATTTTAGATAACAGTATTAGTGTAATAGAGGTTTCTTCGATAAACGACAAATTAATAGATTTTCCAAAAGCTTTTCCAAATTTCTCAAAATCAGAAGGAATATCAACATATATATGACACCCTTTCTAACATTTGTTGCCTCTTTAGTAATCAATGTTGTCTTTCCACTTCCATGTTCTCCTCAAATAACATAATAAAATGAATCATTTTTATTTGGTTGAAAAACTTTATTAAGTGTTGCTGAAATTTGTGGTTTAGGAATAAATTCATCATTTTTCATTTTTGATTTAGGACAAGTACCATTTTCTAAAACTGAATTGATATGACACACACCAATCTTATTTAAAATTAAAGCGAAAAAAATGTCCATTGATATGCCAAACATCAAAAGTGATCCTATTACATGTGGTATATCTCTAAATGAAGTATTGGGATCTTCTTGTTTTTTTTCTAAAAGATATTATTGGTTTCTTCTCTGAAATTTTGGAACTTTCTGATATCAAAGCTTCAACTTTATATTTGGTCTCATCATCTTTTATAATTGTAAAATTTCTCAAAAATGATAACTGAAATAAGGTTTGTTTTTAATTTCTCAATAATCGTATTTGATGAAAGGCTTGAATAGTTTTAAAGAAAAACATTTGTAAAAATGAGTTTATAATCTATCTTTCTTACCATATAATGAATCAATAGCTAGGCCAATCAGACAATACCCAAATTATTTTTCCGAATTCCAAATATTATATATAGTACCAAATTCCAAATCCAAAATCCAAAATCCAAAATCCAAAATTTCAAAATATTTGGGCAACATGTGTAGGCAATACTATAACAAAAAATTCATAAAAACTTGGTTTTAACACATAAATTATTTTCAATAACTTTATTATAAGTAATAATTGGTAAAGGATTTGAATTCTTCTTTTATTTCATTTCCTTAATAGGCAGAACTACTACTAGAATTTTATCATCAATTCTTATTTCTGTAATAATTTCTGTATTATTATAATGAATAAATTCATTAACACTAAAAGAATCTTCAAAATTTAGTTTATTAGTTAACATTTGATTGAGGTGAAATTTGTGATGAATATTGTTGAGATAGAATTTGTGATGAATATTGTTGAATTAATTTGTATTATTTATCGTAATCTCATTTGTATCTATTTCATTTTATAGTATTTATTTAAACCAAATTCATCAGTATTTACTTTAGATAAAGATTATAACTACACTTACAAATTTCAGATTATGATATTACTACCTGTATCATAATTATTTCACAATTCTAAAAGTCGCTTCACAATGTTTTTCACAAATTCGCAATTATAAATACTAAGTCATCATTTGAAAGTTAACACGTAGCTTGAATATTTAAGGCTATTAATAAGGTAATATTTATAACATGTGTAGTTTCATAAAGAATATGTTGTAGGTGCATCATTGATTAAAAGAATAATTTTTCTATTCTGTATTCTTCAACTTTTTGAATTTCAGTAATAAACTAACAGTATTTTTGTTTATATGTTTAAGTACTCATGATTTTCATATAAATAAAACAATCACACAATTCGAAGACTGTTTTTGTTCTTGACATTAAATATTAGAAATTATTTATGTAACTAGGTTTCGGTTTTTCAAAAAAAAAAGGCTGATTAATTTTGTTACAATTAAAAATATCTTAAGAATTATTATCTTTTTAAAATTTGATTGATATTTTAAACATTTCATTATAAAGATTTTGAAGTGGAGCATTTGATTTATGTATATAATATTGAGATTATGCTGCTTTTCGAATTATTACTTGAACTTTTAAACTTATCCTCTTTATATAAAAAAGATGCATTTTCAGAAATTAAATATTAATTATTTATTTGAATTGTGTCTTCTACTATAAAGTTAAAGCACCTTCTATAATGATTTATTTTTTCGCAGCGTGAATTAAGATAACTTCACTAACTTCATATTCGTTAACTAAGTCTGTTTTTTTTAAAAAAAAAATGGTGATAATGATTTTTTTTAAACAGATTTTTTTTTTTTTGGCATTTCAAAAAAAGGCGATACAAGAGATAATAAAAAAATATATTCATTATTGATTTATCAATATTAAGTTGATTTCTTTGATGATTGTTAAAGATGCCTTCCAAAATTTTTTAAAAAAAAAAAATTTACAACATTTGGAGCGATTTTTCAGAATTTGCCGAGTTATTATCCCATGAAAATAATGACTCAAAATCGGCTTGAAAAAAATTCTTTCGTTATGCTGAAAAAAAAAAAAAATTCGCCCTAACAAAAAAATTCGGTATATTGAGGTACTACGTTATACCTTAATTAATTAAATAAAATATCAATGTTTATTATTATTATTACAGTATTAGGATTATTTTATTGAGTATTTTTTATTTCCTTTTTTTTTTTCTTTTCGCTTTACTACAATAGTGTGGGTAAGAAAGTTGTTTTTTAATTATCTAGTAACCATTAAAACGTGATAATTCGTGACAGCCAATCAAAAAGGAACTTCCTATTACGTTTGTAGATTGATATTCAACATTACATAAAAATTCAAAATAATCTAACGTTATAATACCATTTTATTATAAATAAATAAATTTGAGAGAATGCCAACTGCTCTTCCTTACCATTTAATGTGGTCTCCGCATGAGAGATCGAATCTATTTTTGGTTGGACTTAATGGAGCTTCTAATAGTGGTGATTTAAGGTTATATGAATATAATGAATATAATCAAAAGGTAGGCACCAAAGAATTCATGAATTTTCTTTACTAATTAATTACTTATTATTATTTATTATTTTTAACTTTGATCACATACATATATATATATACATATATATATATGCATACACACACATATATATATATATATTTATTTTGAATAGGGAACGTGGGGTATTAGAAGTGTTGGGGCAATTTCGGAAAGTCACCAAGTGAAGGTAATTTATAATAATAATAATTTTAATTAAATTTAATTGATCTGATATAATTTATTTTCAAAAAAATTAATTAATTAATTAACTTAATTATAATTAATAAAAAAAAAAGTGTTTTGCCTGGTCAACAGATCCCAATTTTAAAAGTTTGATAGCAATTGGACAACAAAATGGGAATACTTCAATAGTTGATCTTTATGAAGAAGGAACGACAACAATTGATGAGACATTATTAACGATAACAACAACAACAACAAATAATCATATCTCAAATAAAAATAAAAATCCAATTTCTCCAACACCCTTAAGCATAGTTTCACTTAATCAATCACCAGCATATGCCACATTACCAAGTCGACATAGTTATAATCGATCATGTAATCTTATGACCTTTTCTCCGGATGATTCACGTTATTTGGCAATAGGATATGAAAGATTAAGATATGATTGTTCTTTACTTATTTGGGATATTGAACAAGCAAAAAATATAAATAAATTTGGTGAAAATGAAGGGGATGATAGTAATATTATTAATAATAATAATAATAACAAAACACCAAAATTGACAGCAGAATCTAGAGCTGGAATTATTAATAGTGGATGGAATGATAGAAATGTACATAATAATAATGAATATGGAAATATGATGATGGGATATGGAAATAGAGGAAATGGGGGAGTAAATGTAAATGTTAATACGACAGATGAGAATCTTTTTAATCCTTTAGGTAATTTATTATTTTATTATTATTATTAAATTTTATTATTTATTATTTATTATTTACTATAATAATAATTATATTTATTATTATATTTATTATTTAGAGGCAAGATCACATCCTCAACCATTATCACCACGTCCTTTACCTTTATCAAATAGGTTCTTTATTATTATTATTATTATTATTATTATTTTGTAGGTTTTTCTTTTAATCTTTTTTTTTTCTAATTTTGATCATTGTGATTTATTCTTTGAAAAAAATTGTAGTCAATGGAATCGTATAGAAGAATTAAAGCCCCTAAAATCATATGGATATAATGAAAATGTTGTTTCGTGTTCATGGATTCCATTAAGTCCAAGATTAGTAGCCGGAATGGGAACAAAATATTTAAAATTTTATGACACGAGACGTAATTATCATTTCTTATAATTATTATATATATTAATTATTATATATTTTTTACATTAATTATTATATATTTTTTATATAAACTTAATGATTTTTATATCATGTAGAGGAAGTTCATACTAATTTAACGTACACAAAAGCTACTTACGGAGTGAAAGTAGATCCTTATAATGTACATCGAATTGTTAGTTATGAGGAAGGAAGTATTTATTTATGGGATGATCGAAAGATTGGCGAATCCATATCCATTTTTTATCTACTTTATTCTTTTTCTTATTATATTATTATTCATTATTATTCATTATCATTATTATTATTATTATCATTATTATTCATTTATATAATAAAAAAAAAATATTATCTCCTTAATTATATCTATTTTTTTTTTTGTTTTTAATGAAATTTTACATTTTAATTATTCCCACGGATTCAAAACCCGTTCAAATTTTATTTTCACCTAATAGATCAGGTTTACTTGCTTCACTGGAAAAGGATTCAAACCGAATAATGTTATATAATGTACAAGAACAAGAGAATACTTTTAAACTATCAAATAATTCTCATTTATCAACAACAGCAACATCAATGAATCGGAATTTATCATTTAATAGTATCGAATCAATTAATAACACTACTACTACTGCAGGGTTAAGTGAAGGTAGCAATAATTTTATTATTTGATTTATTAATTTTAAGGTGTTCTTGATGTGATATAATTATAATCTTTTATTGTGATTTAAATAATAATAATAATTTGTTAATTAATTAATTATTTATTTTTTTTAGGAACAATGACTACATTAAATAAAGAAGATGATTTTGATACACCGATTCTATGGAAATCTAGAAAAAGTATGAAAATTATTATTAATTAAATTAATTAATTAATTATAATATATATATAAATATATATATATATTTTTTATTTAATTAAAACAATATGAACAAATCTTAAATAATAATTTATTATTATTATTAATTCATCATTAAAATTTTTTTTTTTGAATAAAATTAAAAAAAAAAAGCTGGCCGTTTACCAAAAAATTTATCATCATTTTCGTGGATACCGACTGGTACATCATCATCATCATCATGTCTTCGATTTTTGACCATTAATAAAGATGGTGGATTTGAGAGAGTATTCATGGATGAAGCACCCCAATTTAGTTGGGAACCCCGAGGAAATTTAACCATTTTTGGTCCCAAAGGAATTTCATTTGATGTTGATAAGAAATTAAATGAACGTAGTGGTGGTGGTGGTGGTAAAAACAATGGCAATGGTAAAGGAAATGGAGGTAAAGATATAAATGGTGATAATATAAATTTATCACCAAAAGATCCTTCTAAAAAGAAATTTAAAACTATTACAATCCAACCATCCAAATCACGTGATGAACTATTTGTCACAATTGATAGAGATAATGAATCGTCTCATGATAGTGAAACATTGAAAGTAATGGAAGAAGATATTTCTGTGGTGATACGTAGAAGAGCTAAATGTCAATACTTTATGAATGTACGTTTTTAAGAATTACTTATCTTATTATTATCATTATTATTATCGTTTAATTCAATTTTGATTTGATTTGATTTGATTTGATTTGATTTAATTTAATTTAATTTAATTTATTAATAGTGTAAAGCTAATCAAGAAATTGTGAAGGGTTCACCAAAATTGGAAGCTTTATGGAATTGGATGGCTTGTTAGTATTTCATTTGGTTACTGATTAATAATTATTTATTAAATATTATTTATGTTAATTATTATTAATAGGGGTTACTGATGAAAACACAACATTGAATACTGACTACAAATACAATGGAGTTCATTCAGCATGGACAGGTTAGAATAAATTATTATTTTTTTCTATATCACATTTATATTCATTCATTTTATATATATATATATATATTTATATATTCATTTTCATATACATCATTTATTTTATTATAGCACCATCCGTAATAAATGGTTTAAAGAATGCAATCTTAACTCCTAAAACGCCATCACTTCAACCGCCACCAATATCTCAATCACCATTATCAGAAAAAATTGATATGATTGATTATTCTGATGAAATTCCTACTGTTCCGACTACAAAATTGGCACAAAGGAAATTGGCTTTAAGTATATGTGGATGGGGATTTGGAAAGAATGAATTAGAGAATACACTTATAAGGTTAATTTTTAATATATAAATTTGATTTTTAATGGATTATTTATTTTATAATTAATTTATTATTTTTTTTTCATAATGATGATTTATAGAATGGAGCATGCTGGTAATTATGAAAAAGCAGCAGGATGGGCTCTATTTCATAGGGAAACTGAACGTGCCATAGAAGCTTTGAATAATAGTAGAGGTATCTTTATATGATTAATAAATTTATAATTTATTTATTTATTATTTATTTATTTTTTAATTTGTTTAATTTTTTAATTTATTTAATTTTTAATTATTTAATTTTTAATTATTTAATTTATTCAATATAAAGATGAAAAATTGAAATTAGTATCAACTGCTCTTGCTGGATTTTCTTTTAATAAGAATCAAGATAATCCACTTTGGCGAGAAATGTGTAAACAATTAAGTTTCGAAATGAGGGAACCTTATTTACGTGCTATATTCTCTTATATATCTTCAGGGAATTGGGATAATGTATTAAATGATGAAGAACTTGAATTACGAGATCGAGTAGGAATAGCAGTAAGATTTATGGATGATGAGAAGGTAATTTCAAAATAAATTAATAATAAATAAATAAATAAATAATAAATAAATAATAAATATATATAATTAATTCAAATAATTTTTTATTTATTTTTATAGTTAACCAATTATTTACGCGAAACCACAAAAATTGTTATAAATAATGGAGATTTATCTGGAATAATTTTAACCGGATTAACTTTGGAAGGAATCACATTATTTGAAAATTATGTAAATAATACAGCAGATGTACAAACTGCAAGTTTGGCACTTAGTTATTGTGTACCTCGTTATTTACAGGATCCCAGAGTTGATCAATGGGTTGAAAGGTAATTTTTTATTAAATTTTAATATATTATATTATTATATCAAATAGATTTATAATTTATATTATCAAAATTATATTTATAATCTATTTTATATCAAAAATTATATTTATGATATTATCAATTATATTATATTTATGATATTATCAATTATATTATATTTATGATATTATCAATTATATTATAGTTATCGATCATTATTAGATAAATGGGAAATGTTTCATATCCGAGCACAATTTGATATATTAAGAGGAAAATTGATGGATACATCAGCAGCAGATATTGCTCCACCTCAAGTATATGTTAGATGTGATAAATGTAGTCAAAGCATTGCACATAATCTTTTTATTCCCGTAAAAGGAAAGAGTATTGGTGTATTAACTGGTTCTTATGCTGTGAATGGAGGAGGTTTTGCTAGACCCAAGGTTTGTTACATAAATTCTATTCTATTCTATTTTGATTGAATTATATTGAATTATATTGATTATATTATAGGTGACTTGTTGTCCAGGTTGTCATAAAAATCTCCCACGTTGTTCTATATGTTTACTTGGTCTTGGAACTATTAATGATATTTTAAGAAAAGATATTTCAATGAATCATGGAGGATTTAATAAGAAGATTAATAGAAATAGTAATAATAATAATAATAATAATAATAATAATAATAATAATAATAAGGAATCACTTGGAATTGAATCATGGTTTACATGGTGTCAATCTTGTAGGCATGGTGGACATGCTATTCATATGTATCAATGGTTCGATAATCATAAGGTTTGTCCAGTTAGTGAGTGTACATGTGAATGCGAATTATGATTTGATTATTTTATTTATTTGAATTTATTTTATTTGAATTTAATTTATTTATTTAATTTATTATTATTTATTTAATTCATTGTATTTGTTAATTTATGATTTTATTTATTTTATTTTGTATTTGTAAATATTATTTATTGATTATTTATTATATTTAAATTTAGATTATATTTTATCATTATATTTTCTCAACATTGTACATTTTATTTATTTTTTTTAATTATTATTATTTTATTTAATAAAATTATAATATTAATTATATTATATAAAGTTAATTAAGTTAATTACATTTTCTACATTAATTTGTTTGCTTACATCACGCGATGGATCGTCGATGATTAATTAATTTATCACAACCTGTGTCTCTCTTTCTTTCTCTCTCTCAAATTTTTAATAAAGTTTTTATTTTTTTTTTTACATAACGTACAAATGGACAAATTCTGTGCAGAATATTTACGTCGAAGTGCTCACCAAGTTTTAACTTCCGCCGGTTTTGAAAAAAGTTCAAGAATAGCTGGTGAAGTTTTTGCGGATGTCTTAAAAGATTATTTATTATGTTTGGGTAAATCCACTCACGAACGTGCTACCAACACGGGAAGGATAAAAGTTACTTCTACAGACGTTTTGGCAACTTTTGAAGAATTGGGAATTAATATTGAGGAATTAAAAGATTGGGCTTCAAGTGAAGGCAAAATATTGGGAAAGTTCTTGGGTCCTCAACCTCATATCTTGAAAGGTGAATATATATATATATTTATTTATATATCTATTTTATATATTATGTGTTTTTTTTGTTTTTTTTTGTTTACAAGAAAATAATAGATCTAAAATATATTCACATTTTATATCTTCTAGATTTATTAAGGAGAGGACTTCCTGGTTATCCCGCAGATAATAATATGTCTAATAATAATAACAACGACAATAACAAATCATCATCAATAATTGAAATTAATCAAGACGATATTAAACTTGATAACAATATTGTAGACGAAACATTATCAAATAATAATTCTATCGAAATGATTGAAACTACTATTAATGTTATTAATGTTAATTCATCTGAAAATAATAATGATGATAACGACAAAGATCATCAAGATATACCAGGAACACAAGAAACGGAAGAAATGCCAGATCAAATTATGGGTTCATTGTCACAAACAGAATCACTGGAAAAAATGGATCTTGATGATGATTTAAATATTGATATGGATTCATCTGAACAAACTGAACAAGGAATCAATTATGAAAATAAAGATTCGGAAAAAGAAATAAATATCAAGAACGATAATAATAATAATGATGATGATAGTAAAGAAAGTATAAAAGAAGATGATAATAATAATAAAACAACAAAAAAGATGGAAATTAATAATTCATGGCCTCAGAAGCGACCTTCATATATTCAAGAATGGTTTCCACCCTTTCCCGAAATTAATAAATCTTATGAAAAAGAAAATCAAATAATAAATAATAAACAAAAAATCGAAGATACCCAAAAAATTGACAAAGATACTATTATTATGACAGGTGATAATAATAATAATGATAATAATAATAATAATAATAATAATAATAATAATGATAATGATAATAATATAGATTTAAAGAAAATCACATCATCAACTTCATCATCATCATTATCATCATTTCCTTCTTCTCCTTCTCATGATAATAAAAATCAAAAATCAAAATTATTATCATCTCCTCGTCGTGTAAAACGTTCATCAGATCAACGTCCACCAACTTGTGATCAATTTGTTAACCTTTACAAATCAATTTCTCACTCGGAACCAATGTTACATGATTCAATTGAATCACCTAAAAAGAAATGTAAATTAAAAATTTCACCATCATCTTTATTTCCATCACATTATCTTAATGAAACAATTTCAAAATTTGATGAAGTGAATCCTTCCATCACCACCGCAACTACTATTCAAGAAAATAATAATAATAATAATAAAGATAATAATAAACATTATAAACATTCCAATTCATCATCAATAATTCGTTCACATTCAATATTTAAACTTACTTCTCAAAAAGTACCATTACTTGTTTCTCGAAGAACTAAATCTATTACCAATAATAATAATAATAATAATAATAACAATAATAATAATAATACTGGAGTTGGGGATAATAATAAATCTGAAATGAAATCTGAATCAAAATTAGCATCATCTCAAGTATCAACTATTACTACTGCCCCTACAATCGTTTCATCATCATCATCATCAAGAAAAGGAAAAGAAAAAATGGTTGAACCTTTAGAAATTTTTTCTAATAATAATAATAATAATAACAAAAATATTATTATTATTAATAATAATAATATTGGTAATAATAATAATAATAAATCTCAATCCAAATTACAACATCGGGTTACACTTCCCAAAAGTGGTGGTGGTGGTAGTGTCAGTGATACCAAGAATAATAAATCTAAAAAATCAACATCAACATCTGTAAATAAATCCGCTTCAAAATCTAAAAAATCCGCTCAATCAGGAGGAACACCGACAGTACTTAAATTACGATTAGGAGGAACTTCATCTACTGCCCCTACTACCACCACCCCTACTATTACCACTAATAATAATAATACTTCATCAGTATCAAAAAAATCAACAACTCGATTTAATTCAAATAACAATACCACCAATAATTCTACTAATACTAATACCAATACCGCAGCAACAAATAATGTTGTTGAAGGAGGAGGGGGAGGAGAAGTTGAAATTATAAATTGTATATGTCCTTATCCACTTTGTGAAATTGATGATGGTAATTTTATGCTTTCTTGTGATAAGTGTCAAGTTTGGTATCATGGGACTTGTGTAGGATTTGGTCCTACTCCAGTAGAAGTTAATACTTGGTATTGTGATAGATGTATAGAAAAAGGTGTAACATCTTAGTTTTTAATTTTATTATTTAATTTGATTATTATTATTATTATTATTATTATTATTATTATTATTATTGTAATTATTATTATAATTATTATTATTATAATTGGTATTATTAGATTATTAGATTATTACCATATTAGTCCATTAGTATTACAACATACATAGTAATAAATTAATAACAGATAAGAAAATAATTTAATTTAATTAACTGAAAAATGCTACCCTACGTTGGCTTTTCGAATGTATTCTTTCAAGGTAAATTTTTGGGCCATCAAAAAATTACATGTACTTAACCTAATATAAAAACAAATTTGTATGTGTTACACAGGATAAATTTTTGGGTTATGATGAATTTGTACCATGCATGAGAAAATGTGACTTCACAAATGAAATTATGGCATGCTTCGCGTTTCGATAATCATCATCATTCAATCACACACACACACATTCAATAGTATCCCCATTGCAACGATTGTCTATAAATATACTTCTTAACCGTTATCCATTACTCACTTTTGTTTAACAATTTCCTACAGATAAAAATTAATACCTTCTTCTTTAACTATTGTAGCTTTCCTTCCACAATGGTGTTAAATAGAAACGTGCTCTTCGATATGGCTATTTCAATTGTTTGATACTTTTTTTCTCATCACAAGTAGCTTCTGAACGCTGATTCAGAAACACTGTTTCACCAAAATCATCTATCCCTCAAATTGCCCATGTGACATTACCACCACCGTGACGTCTATAACCTCAATCAACTACTTCCACCATCACTACTACAACCTCCACCAACGTACCTACAACCGTCGACGCCATCGTAAAAAGGGATAAAAAAAGTTTTCTGCATTCCTGATAAAAAAGCAAATGTCACCCCTAATCAACGGACGCGGACATGAACATCGGACCAGACAAAATTTGGATGTCCGTGTCCATGTCCCATGAAAGTGAATGTCACTTCCACGTGAGAATCACCTCCTCTGGAAAATATTTTTATTTGTTGAAACACGGAAGCGGAACATTATCCGTGTCCGAAGAAAATCACATGGACAATGTCTGGTACAATTCTTGCCTAAAGGGTCTAGTATTTGAGCTTTAGTTTTAATCTCATAGCCTTTTTTTCCACTTCTTCTGGAAACATTCCACTCGTTAAAAAATTTTTAATTGCATCAGTATGCCAATGGAAGTATAGCAAATAGGATACTTCATCTTTAAAACTCCTGAATTTATCGGGTAATATCCTTTTTTTCTGATTTGACCACAGATGATATATAATCTTTTAACGAATGCCAACATTCTTAGCATAATATACTTTATTATCAAAGAGACATGAGTGATGGATTATTTGGATAAATATTTTGGACTATTCCTTTCATATCATTTTTACTTATCCCCTTATGTCTCGATTTTACAGTTTATCAGTTAATACATAATGATAAAGTTTAGATTGAACATGAATTGATTCTGTTAAAATCCATGTAGTTGGATCAAATTCATCTTCCATTTTTGAGTTATTGACTTTGAAATATCAATGACATACTTGGTTTTTTTTTCAATAAAATTATGCATTAATATTTTTATAAAAACCAGTCTCAACTCCCAGTTATTTTTAACATTGCGTCCCAAAGATAAAGAAATATATAAATATACATATAACACTGGGTAAAATTTTAAAATACTACACCTATTGCATCAGGAAATTTTAATAGGCGAAAATCTTCGTGTGTTTTTTTACGTTTTTTCAACTTCGCTTGCGATTTTCTACTAAGGTATTTCTAAGATAGAAAGAAGATCTCGTTATTGGCTACAAAATTATTTGTATTTATGTATTTCATCCAGATAGCATCAATATTCGCGGAGTTATTTTAGTTTAAAGAAAAACGTCCGTGAAAAAAATCATGCAAATTTTCCGCATTATTTTCACGGTGATACCACCTGGTTGCCTGGTTGGGAGAGCGAGGGTAAGTACAGAAAAGTTCTTGGGTTTAGCCCAGTAGTAATCGGGAGTTTGGAAAGTATGGAAAATATCTAATATTAATAAAAATAATAATCTATTCTATAGGATTTAAAGAATGCAAATATTTCTGGGGAAAAGCGAAAAGAAACATCTAAAGAAGGTAAAGAACAAAGAAAATTAGTTTCGCTAGGAGTATGTATGGATTTATTCAAGGGATGGATGGTTTTTAAAAGTAGTTCTGGTTAAGTCACGTGACTAAATGAGCTAAGAAACAAAGGATTCGTAATTTAACTTAGAATAACTCTGCAGATATCGATGCTACCGGTATGAAACACATACCATTTTGTAGCCCTTCTTTTTATCTTAAAAATAGTTTAGTAGAAAATCGTTCTATCTTCGCAAATCGCGAGCGAAGTCGAAAAAATGTAAAAAATGCGCGAAAATCTCTCAGGTATCGAAATATTGCGAGTATCGAAAATACTGAGAAGATTAAAATTTCCTGATGTTGTATAAAAAAAAAGACAAAGTTAAAATAATGTCTAAGACAGGCCAAAACACCTTTGAAATTTTTGGGTTCTCTTTTTTTATTTCCAAAAATTTTGAGAATAAGTATTTTTTTTTATTCACGTACGATAAATCATGTGACATATTAACCACTAAATTTCAGCGGTTCCATAATATTTGATGCCTTTAGACTTACTAAATACTATATGCTATGTTATATAGACAGATCAAATATTCCGTACCAGAAAAACTGAACATGTCATTACATCTAACTCAACCCTTCAACGTGATAGGCAGGATCATTTAATTCGAAAGAAAATTACGAGTCGTTTGATGATGATCACTTGTACAACGTGAATAGAACACCCCCACGAACTTCGGAAAATAAGGAGTCGTATTTTTCATTGATTTGGATGCACTTTGGTACCACCATTTAAAGTTTTGAAGGAAAAAAGAGGACTTTAGAAATGTTCGGTGTCAAATTTGTGATAGACCCAGAAAAGCGGAATTGAATATGAGAACAGTGTTCCAAAAAAAAATTCATGTGGAACGTTGTAGATCTACATAACTGTGAAAATGTATAAATATACTGGATCAGATTATTTTATTTCTCCTTTCTTTAAACCAAAAAAAAATTTAACGAATTAATTATTAGTTATAAAATGTTCATTATTATTATATAAAATAGAAAGATGAAAATAAAGGAACTATTTTCTTAAGTTTGTCATATGACCAATCCTGGTATATATTAATAATCCGAAAATTACGAAGTAATTTTACATTCAATAATCCTCTTGTTATTTCATAAATATATATACATATATAATTGACAACAAAATAAAAATAAAAAAAAATAAATAAATAAAAAAAATGGATGCAGAATCAAAAAAAGAATTGTTACATTTCATCAAAGAAAATATATCTACTATTCATTTTAAAACTCTTCGAGAGAATGAAATTGAAAAAAGTGATGATATAAAATTAGCATATATGAAACATACTTTAGATGATGATCCCGCATTATTTTTATCAAAGTGGGGAAAATATTTACCACCAGATCATTTATCAAAATTCGAAAGGTTAAGAAGTGAGTCAAATTTTCATAATAATTTACCTTTAATTAAAAATTTAATTTTTCTAATTAATTCAATTTAAATTAAATTTAAATATTAGATGATTATGAAATTAATTGGCATTTAAATCAATTACAAAATTTCACACCTAAAGTACCACCACCAGTATCTCGAAATTTAACTCCCAATGCTCGTCATAATAAACAAATTTTGAACCGAAGATATAGATATCTCGTTACCAAACTTGATTCTACCTCATATTTTAATGATGAAGCTATTGAATCCCGTGAACCTTTATTATATGAAAATTACGTGGGTCAATATTTACCTGAAGAAAAAAGGCATCCACCATTTCCTGATGACGTAAATTTGGTGGATAGAGTACTTTATGATATTGGTATTTTGTTCAATTATTAAATTATTACAGTTATTATTATCATCATTATTATTGTTATTTATAAAATATATTTATTCTATTTTTTGAATTAGACCAGAATTATATACATGAAAAAAAAGAAGAGGAGAGAAAACTACAAGAGGAACAATTTGAAGAGGAAGAAGAGGAAGAAGAAGAGGAGGAGGAGAAGGAAATAGAAGAAGTTAATGGTCTTCAAATGGACATGAATAAAATTGATATAAAATCAATGGAAATTGTTTATGAAAAAAGTGATTCAGTAATGCAAGAATTAACAACAATAATGAATGAGAAAGAAATTAATAATGAAAAAGATGAAAAAATACAAATATCAGATGAAGAAAAAGAACAATTAAGAGCAGATCTGATTGATATTATGAGAGAAAAATTTTTATCAGGAAATGATGTAAGTTATTATATATCTAATTTTATAAATAATTATCATTAATTACAGTATCATCAATTTGATTTAATTTGATTAATTTGATCATTTTGATTATTCTGAAGCCAGATTTTGATTATGATACAGTGGATTTTAATGAAGAATTTGATGATGTTGAAACTGAAGAACAAGATATTCAAGGTAAAAGAATAAATTGTTTAAATTTTTTATCTATTTGTTTATTATGTTTATTGTTCAAATTATTTATTATGCTTCTTTCAACTTAGATAAATATTTTGATAATGGTAAATAAATTTTAATTTAATATCATTAAGCATTTTTAAAAATTGTTACTAAAATATTTCAACTATTGTATTTCTTATCTATTTATAGAACCAGATGATATGGAAGAAAAGAATACTGAAACTGGTATATTGGATTATTGAATTTTGATTATGAGATATTTTTGATAATTAATCAGTTTAACGATTCAAACCATAATAAAATAATTTTATATTATTATAGTTATGAAAATATAAAATTAAATAGCAACTAATTTAGAAGCATCTTTTGTTTCATTTATCAAATAAATCATTTAAGAAATTGATGAAATTTATATTGTAATAATGTTGCTTTTATTTAATTTAATATATTAACATAAATTTATAAAAAAAAAAAAAAGAATTGATATATAATGCACTAAAAAAAAACTAATCGAATCTCCCAGTATTTTTATTTTTCCTTGTCCCGTATCGACGTTGTCTTTCCTGTGGTCTTTGTGATTCTGGTGGTGGTGGTTGTCTTTTCTGTTGCTGGTGCTGATGTTGATGCTGTTGATGCTGATGCTGATGCTGATGTTGTTGCTGATGTTGTTGCTGATGCTGTCTTCGAATGAGATACTATTTTTTTTTTGATAATTAAAAGTTATTAGAATGTAAATTAAATTTAAAAGGTGTCAATAGTAAAATTAAAATCATAAAAACATACCTCAATTTGTTTTGTGATAAATCCATACACAGTATAAGTATGTGAGACCATTAATTCATCTGGAAATAGATTATCAATCAATTGTTGAGGAACTGAAGACGGCCAAAAGAATAATGATTCTTCACAGACATAAAGATTGAGCGGGTGAGTTTCTTTTATAGTTTCTCCTTGTAAACATCGATACATAAATCTTTTCAAAGCTAAAGCGAATGCATCAGCTGGAAGAAGTTCTTGTTGAGATGGGGGTATTGTCCAATCAATAACTTTATTTAAAGAATCTACTAAATCATTAATCGGAGCTTTGTATTTTTCAGAAACATATTTCACAGTGGTATTAGCCACTTGTTCTTCAATTAATTCGTATAATCCAACTAAATGTTTAAGTTTCAAATCTACGTTCAACAAATTATTGAATTTGGCATTTTCGGAAATTTCTGATAGTGATGCCCATTGAGATACATATTCTTTAATCAAAAATTCACCACCACCACCAGGGCTACGTTTTACAAAGCACAAAAGAATTTCTAATGCTGATAGAATATCTGATGGATTATCTATTGAGGTGTCCATTTGATCTGGTGAGAAATTAAATGAATTTGTTGGGGTTCCCATGATAGTTGCAACCTTTTCAGGGGATATTGGTTCTTGTGGAATCAAATTTCTAATATCTCCAATAATTCTCATAGATGATTGGAACAATTCCATATGATATGAAAAAGGTTCCATGAATAATGTAGTTTCTTCTATCGTTTCTATGTGAACTTTTTCAAAAACTAAATACCTAGCGAGTTCTTGTTCAATTTTCTGTAAATCATAAATAATGTCTTGACCACGTCCAAGTCCTAAATTTCTTTCACTAAATTGAAGAATTCCATCATAATCATCTTCCCATTGGTAAGATATCAAATTATCTTTTCTCGCTTGTTCAAGAGTTAATGATTGAATATAATATTGAGGTGGACCTTCAGTTTCTGTAAGGGAATCAGAATCTTCTAAAAATCTAAGGGATCTGCATGTTCCAGGAGTAATTGCCATAATTTCTTCTAAGAAATTATTTTGTATAAAAATTAAATATTCTAGAATTGCACAAAGAAAAACTCCTTCATCTTTAGGTTCAATTAACGCTAAAATGAGTTTCTGGTCAAAATGCATTTTAGGTTTAATCTTAATTTCATGACATTGATATCTATCTACATTCTCAATCACGGAATTCCAAGCTTTCTCAAAATCTTTATATGCTGTTAATAATGCTCCGTCATTCCTCTCGCTTAAAACATATTCACGGAATGTTAAGGCTTCAACTTCTTTTCTATTTAATCGATAAGAAAGGCGGGCTGATAGTAATTGAACAAATTTAACAATATTCCAAAGATGTTTTACATATGTTAATCTTTCTTCATATTTAAAGTACGCGGCTAATACAGGGAATTGTTCTTGATATTGAGCTAAATTTCCATTATAATAAGCACGGAAACTTTCAAAAGTGTTAACTCCAATTTTACGCCAAAGTCGAGGTAATTGAGATATATCGACCGTCGTCAAAGTTTGATTTATTTCGGATTCAATAACATTAGCATTATTTCCTACAGCATTTGATGCAGCGTCAAGAATAGTACGGAAATTTGTGGTTGTTTCAGGTATACTTTTAATTTGGTCAGACACGTAATTTCTAGTGAATAGAGTTTCCCATTCTTCACGTTGATTCGGAGCGCTTAAATTAGATGCAGGTGGTGGGTTTTGTGTCATGTTCGCCAATATTGAGTGTAATGTTAATGCTAAATTCTCATCAGAACAATTAAGAATTTGTTTGAGAATATTCCAATCATTTTGAATATGTTGAAGACAATAATGTTCCGTATCGATAGCAACTTGGTTATTTTTCTGAAGGAAATTGAATGCAATTGGTGAGGGAGACGAAGCACCTATGAGAATATGAACAAATAAATGTAATATCCTGAAAGAAGTAGGTGGCATAGATCGAACACAATAAGCGATATCTTGATTTGGTGTTTCTCCAATATAACCAGACATGTCATTAGTTGCTAAATTCGCAGCAAGTGGGGCTGCATCTAATTTCTTATTAGTAGCATAAGCCTTATGATCTGCACCTCCTAACGTTCTTGTTTTACACTCAGGACATAACTGACCAGTCATGGCGAAACCGCAATTACCAATAACATATTTATAACCGCATTCACAAGTATATCTATTGAAAAATAACAAAAATACAAATTTTTTTTTTTTAATAAATTTTTTTTTTTTTTAAAAAAAAATATAAACACCTATAATCATATTTGACTTACCGAGTAACTCGTTCTTTTCCTAAAACAGCATTCATTATATATGCTTCCATATCGGAAGTGCAAGATAAAATAAACATATTCTGACATGTTTCTAACCTATGTAAAAGTGTGGTAAGAGGTGTAACGTTTGGATCCATAGATGCATGCAAAATTATTGTATGAGCGATCACTGATTTTATGAATATAGTATTATTATCCATTCTAGCATCGAAATGAAGTAATGGATGTCTATTTGATATTATCCTATTGATAGAGTTCTTATAAATATCGGATAATCCGTTTATTCTGCTAACATTTTTCAAAAAATCTGCTGCTCGATTTTCGTTTGGACCCCATTCACGTGAAGCTCTAATAACATGTAGGCGAGATATGATAAGACCCGTAAATGCAATTCTAGAGTTAAGATTATTTGGTAATAATTGCATGAATTGTTGAATCGGATTGTTATTATTTATACTATATAGAAATCTAAATGAGTCTTCGGCTTGTGCATATTCAGGAAGATACCAATATGTGTTAAATGGAAGCCTATTATCATTATTATCTCCCCATTCTAATGATGATAACCATGGTAGAGTTATTCTTTGTCCGTTACAGAATTTTTTAACATCATCAATTGAAAAATCTCTAAATCGTAAATCTCGTAAAAAGTAGATCTTAAGAGAATAAATTAAAGGATTCTCCATTGACATGACATTGTTTATTTGATCAAGAACTACTCGAGGATTAAAATTTCCAATTTCCATTATTTTACCTATTGAAATTGGTTTTGTGAAATCGTCACTATCTATTGTCGTGTCCCAAAGTCTACCAACAAACTCTTTTAGAAAGGCTATTGATATAATACGTTGTAAAGGTTCTACTCCCACGTTAAGTAATGCACTAGAAGCTGAAAGAAAGTATTCAATCATCCCTGCCATTTCTAAATCTGAAAAGTAATTCTGTTGAATAATATCACAGCACAAGGCCGCCATTGGTGAATTTAAATCTTTGAGTTTTAAAGCATTATTAATCACATTCAAACGAGGTGAACGTTGCAAAATCGCATGAGCATTTTCGAAAATTTTAAAGAAGACACTTTCATTATCGTTATCTTCTTTTTCGAAAATACGACTTATAATCGATCCTATCAAGGGGAAAGGTTCTCGAGAAAAAATGTATTGATAAAGGTGTAAAATTACTTGTGACTCTAATGAAATAACATCAAGACATCTTGTAATAAATGATCGCATGGGAATTAAATTTTTTTCATTAACTTCAAGTTTATCCAGAACTCTAAGGACATAATTTATGAATTCTTTGGAAAGTATTTCGCGATCATCGGAAATTAGACCAAGTCTTACTATTTCCTTAATATCTTTCAAAGAAACTGATTCTGAAGCAACAAGTTCATTACAAATTCGTAATAATTGGAAAGATGGTAATTTTCGAGACCGAATCAACTTTCCAGTATAGGTTATGATTTTTGTGGCTTGTTTATGCCATTTATCTATATGGTGAACATTAATACTTTCTGCACTTAACTTATTAAGCATCGTTATTGTTACTTCCTGAATGAGAAACTCTTCAAAGGTGTGATTAGCTCGTCTTTCTGAAAAGTCATTGATAATTGTTGGACATAATTGAGCTAATTGAAAGTCTGCTAATATTGTACTTGAATTTGTCCACCAATAAACATGTAAGTACACTGGGTCTTTAACCTTTTCTTCATCCAAAAGTTGTTGCAAAATTAGGGATAATAATTTGACATCTTTTTTACTCCCATCAGTACTAGAAACAACTGTAACAAAATCATTAAAGTATAATTCTGAAAATTCGTCAAATGGTGCATCTCGGAGGTGTGGTATTGAAGTAAGGATGGTTTGATTAAATACACGATAAGTTGTATCCTCAACAAATGGTTGAAGTTCTCCAAATTCATCACAATTTTCTCTTTCTTGCTTAAGTTTAGCTATTTCTTCTAAATACATTTCCTTAAAATCATCAATTCTTTTGATAAAATAACCTGAAAATGGGAAACGCAAATCATAAATTCGTGGTAACGTATAAACATCGGGGTTAGGTTCAACAAGATCATCGGTTCCCATTACTTTAGGATCTTTAAACATATCTTTCCAGAATGTGAGTAGAGAATCTTTTCCATCTTCGAGCTGATCAATATAAAAGAATGTATTTATGGCTGATAATTTTTGCAGAGAATATAACATTTTTGCAAGTGGACCTCTGACCAAAGAACGAATATAGGCCTGTAAAGCGGCAGAAAAAGATGAATAAGGATATAATAACCGTTTATTGGATGCAACTTGATATTGCCAGTCTGCAGAAGATTTTTCATCAATCCACATGAGTGTTCTTTCTTTGAGGCATTCGATAAAGTTAGGGTACTTGAAGATCTCGGAACTGATCGTTCTATAAAAAATCGAAAATTAATAAACATTTTCAAGAAAATTTTTATACAATATCAATGTGTACTTACTTAATGTGATTAATAGAATTTTCTGTAGAAGAAAATTTCATACATAGAAGACACCATAACAATTCTTGTTTTAATATCTCCTCAAATGGATAAGTGGATTTCATTATAGTTATCAAAGATCCTTCCAAAAGTGAAGATAAATGTTTCTCTTGAGGGGCCAAAGTTTCAATTGTAACTTGTCTCCATCCGCACATAAAATTAAATGATAAAAATTTGGTTTCTTGTTCCCTATGAATATGTAAAATAATACATGCATGTTTTGCTTTCGTTTTTTTGGTTTTTATTCGAAGAAATTCATTACGATATTGTTCAATGATGAATTTAGCTAACTTAATACATCCCGCATTTCTGGTGGTTACATCACACTGAAGAACCAACATTTGATTATCAGATTCAAGCCAGAAATGTTTAACTCTATTTTGAAGTTGTGCTTCGGTTTTGAATGTTGATAATTTATCAACTTGAACACGTGTCACTTTTTCTAGACATTTTTTAACATCGGTGTTGATGTTCGAGAAAGTATTTACAATAACTAACGATGGCTCTGGGTCAGCCATACCAAGTTCAAAAAATAATGAAACGAAATAATCTTCTAAGTGATCGTGATGTTGGTTATTATTTTCTGGTGATGGGAAGTAAACATTCTTCCAGAATAAACTTTCTGCGGGATCGATGGCTGATTTTGTGGCTCTTATAATTCCATCCGCTGAAGCAATAGCAACAAGAGATTCTTTACATTTTTTAATAATATCTTCATTTTGACTTTCAGGATTCATTTTCATAGTGTACATGACTAGACTTTGTAAAGTTTCATCTGGATCAAAGCCAATGAAAAGATCCTTCAATTTGAAGTCACTACGAGATTGTATTCTGTTCCTCGAGACCAAAGTTCCCATTTGTCTAACCCATTCTTTCAAAAACTCTACAATATCCTGTTGCTGTTTCGTGAGTGCATCTTCAATAGTCAATCTTTGTTTTTCAAATCTATTTAAAAGTGGTGGATCTGCTCTATCGAGTCTAGATTCATCAAGAACTAAAATACATCTAAATTTATTATCCACATACCTAATAAAATAATCATAGGATTAAAAAATTGAAATATTAAAAATTTAAAATATTAAAAAAAATAATAAAAATAATGAAAATAATATAATAAATAAAATATGAACTTAAATATACTTACAACATTGGATTAGCATAAGCCCCAAGAGCAACTCTGGTAAAGTACCTAGGATTTTCTTTATTCCCATAAACAATGTAATTCTGATTCCATAAATCATAAAGAGCGCCTATTTAAAAAATATAAAAATATAAAAATTAAAATAACTTGTAATCATAAATTATATTATTAATTCAAATTACATACCATAAATAATATCCAAATCTGTTAAAATAAGAGGTCTCCCTGCTTCAACACACATCTAAAAAATGATCAAATATTATTAAAAGACAAAGTTATACATGTAAATAAAAAAAAAATTATTAATAATTAATTATATTTACCATAATTCTACTCAATACACTATAAGAATAATCTTGTTGGTCATCAGGAAATTGGGAACCTAATATCACCACAGGTTCTAAACCTTGATTTTTTAACTGGAAATCTAAAATATTTACAATAGAATCACTTTTCCCGATAACCATTAAATGTCTTGCGCTTTCATCTCTTAAATTAGCATTAATTAATTCTGAAGTTGAGATTGGTTCGTATTTCCATTCACCGTAATTGTTGAACTTTTGCAAAACGTTACCAAAGTATTCTTCACAAAGTCTTGCATTTTGATCTGTACCACCAAAATTTCTAGCTAAAGCCATCTGAATATTATCGGGTGTCATATCTGCCATAGATAAGCTTTTTACAAGACCATAATAATCACGAAGACCGTGGAAATTTGGATAAATTTGTCCGGATTGTTCATATTCTGAATATGCTTCTGCAAGAGGTTTAAGAGACACGGATCGTGCTTTACCCTCAAGTAACCGTTCTGCAGTCTCCACAAGATCGTCAATACCAAACTTAGGTCTATTAAATAAATTGAATTATTTAAATTAGATTCTTTTAAAAATTAAATAGATTTAAATCTTAAATTAAGATTATTTATTTCCTTTACCTTTGAACTAATAATGCTCTGCTACTTTTACTATTATCTAATCTCCAATTACTAATTCCAATAACAGATACAGTCGGACCATCAGCAGGATAACTTGGTTCAAGTAAAGAATGAAGAACTTTCAAAGGATTGTGTGGAGAAGTTTCAGCCAATCCAACTAAAAAAAAACAAAAATAATCATAATATAAATTTAAAATCATAATTAATTAAAATTAAATAATCATGTTGCATATCGTAAAATACCTTCATCTAGTAAAACAACACTGATCGAAGGAAATTCATCTGTGCTTGTTTCTTGGAATTTAACTGCTTTTTGAAAAACTTCAATAATACCATCAGAAGTGGAAGATGATGAACCTTGATGTGGAATAAGATAAACCTAAAAATTTCAAATTAAAACAATAATTCATAATAATATAACAAATTTTGGATAAATGGTTTTTTCGTAATTATATATATTTACCTGTGGCAAGGTTTGGAAATATCGATCATTCGAATCTTTACCACGAAGATTTTGACTAATTAATCGAATTGCTAAAGATTTGGATGACCTTTAAATTTTTTTTTTTAAAAAAAAAAAAAATAATAATAATAAATTTAATAAATTTTTTTTTAAAAAAGATAATATTTTTTATCGTTTTAAATACTAACCCTGGTGCACCAATAATAAATGCTGGTATTTTTATCAGAATACAAACGGTCATTACTAATATATTTTCTAAGAGAGCTTCGTTTAATGCAGTATTTGGAGGTATATTCATTCGTTTTACAATATCTTCTTGTTCTTGTTTAATTATTTCCTTAAATTTACGATGATCTAAATTCACACCCTTTGATCTAAAAATTTTAACCATATCTTTCCGATAATTTGCACGTTCTTCTTGATCATAAATTCTAGATTGATAACAAAGAGCAATTGCTAAAATATAACACCGGAATTGTAATTGTATACTATTATCATTAGGATATTTGGGTCTACTTTTATTTCCTGTTTTTGTTCGTCGCGGTCGATTATTTAAACTATAATGGAAAAACTTTATCAATTTGATAGCTCTCTTCACATCACGTAAACTAACACTATATGGTTCTTCAATTGAACGAATAAATTCTTGGGATCCAAACAAGAGTTCTGTGAGTACTGGGTGGTTCAATTCATAATCTTTAAGTTCTTTGTGTGTCATTATTTGGATATATTTTTTTTCATCATTTTTTTGAAGAATACCGTAGTCCCACACATAATCCAAAATTTGGTCCGGAAGTGGCTTGACTTGATATACAAGTTTACTTTGTTCTTCATATCTGTTGACTTTGACTTTGGCCTTTAATCCAGCTTGGCTTTGACTCTTTGTTCGCATTCGATATGGATTACAGGCAGAGAATAATCGAATATTTGGATGAATTGCTTTACCGAGCAACATTTGATGAGCAATAAGATCTGCTAGAAGACCAATATGATCACATGTATTGATTTCATCAAAGAATATCCATATTTCTCCGTTTACGGCATCCTTTTCAACCTTAGACATAAAATCTAATATTTGGGCTTCTGAAATTCCTGCGTGAAGATTTAATGCTTCAAACTTGACTTCAACAACTCCTGCCAAATAACTTATTAAACTTGTCTATAAATTTTAAGATATTATATTAACATATTTATTTAACCATAGAATATAGAATATAGAATATATAGTAAATAATTACCTTTCCACATCCAGCTTCGCCCATCACAACAACTGGAATGTTAGCCCGAGCTCTTAGTAAGATTAATGCCATCTTAACTAAATTATCAGCTGATAGTGCATAATTAGGTAAATCAATTTTATTTGTTGTCTTACGTGCCAAACATTCTAATCTATTTAAAAGTTCTTTATCGGGCATATTATTATAATCTTCAAGTTTCCATTCTCTGGGATTACCGGGAAATTGACTTCTCAAGAAAGATTTCACATTTTCATCAACTTTCTTGGGGTCTCGATATAAAGTACAAATCGAGTCTGGACTTTGAGACATGAAGCACACTAAAAGATGATTTGAGTCATCCCATGATTTAATCTCGATATTAATGTCTTCTAATTCTTGATTAATATTTCCAATTGCTTCTAATTGTGCTACTTTTGTTTGAACAGATCGAGTTGCAAAGTCTTTAGAAACATCTATTAGTTTTCGTAGTAATGTTGTTCGTAAATCTTCATCTTTTACAATTTGTTTCAAATTCTCAACGCGAAAGTATGTACTTGATGAAAAACGCACCTACCAAAATATTAAATGTATCAGAAAAAAGATTACCTTAAAAGGTATATTAAATGAAAGTACTCACCAATTGATCAGCTAAAACATTAATAAAAATTTCCACAAAGCGAAATGATGAAATATTATCTGTGTTTTCATCGAAGAAATATTTGGCCACTAGTTCTTGACATCTTTTCGCTGGTAAAGGTTGAGTAATGGCTCCTTCTCCAGAGAAATGAATATTATTTTCGTCAATTGTAGCTTGATCAAGTGCATTCAAATAATAAGATACAATTTGAATTGGACTATGAATTTCATTAGACACAATTAAATTATTAATATCCCAGGATATATGAGTTTTGTTATAATAACTTGTGATTGGAAGTGAATTAAGTAATTTTTGTTCGTCGGTAGATGCAATTTCAATGAAAACTGTGGTTTTTGGAAGATATACGATTTCCACATCATTAAATACAAATCCTAATGTAAGTAATTCAAATAAGAACATATTTACATCACTACTGTTATTGGTTGAAACAATATTAATATGCAAACTTTCTCCTTCATGAAGTTCATGAAGTTGAAATCTTTTGAGCTGATGAACTAGTTTACTAAAATTGATCCCATCACTAATAAGGAAACTACGAGGAATTTTATGTTTTAGGAAACTAGATTGTTTAATCCATTCACTCTTTCCTTGACCAGATAAATCCGAGGATACACATGCAACATTTGGACATAATTCAGAATAAATAGCCTTCATTGTTTCATTACATAAACCATTGGTATTAACTACTTCTGCTGAAAATTGATCTAAAATGTGATGATGAAGTCCTGCCTCACGACAACAAATTAATGCTAATAAATAATCATCATGATTCTCACGTAAAGATCTTATAAGATTTACTAAATTATATTGTAAATCGAACTCGAGCACCTCTAAATTTGCAATACAGAACAGGTGATCTTTATATCCATTATCAGCTGCAAGGAAACAACGTTTTGTGAAAATTGAAAGTTCCTCCATAGTAGTAGATGATTTACAAATCAAAATTTGCCATGGTTCGGGATAATATCCATGATTTATATAAATTGACATCATAATATTTGGAACTAATAATTTATCATTACAAGAAGCAACAAATAACCTTCCTCTATGCACTATATCAGAAGGAACCACTACACCTTTTTCTTTTAGTGGACGTTTTTGAATTGGAATGTCACCGAATATAATTTTTATCTTAGCACCAAGTTCACAGAGAATATCCAAATAATTTTGTTGTGATATTTTAAAACCACCTTTTTTGGCTGGCAACAACTTGGCCTTGGGGTTCACAAATAGGATAAGAGTTTTAATAATCTCTCTATTGGCTGGATCATCATTAGTGAAATAGTCAAGAAAAGTTAAAATATGACGAGCAGGGAAAAATGTCAAGTAATAATGAAGTTCCTGTGCTTTATCGACGATCTTTTCCCTGAATTATATGAAAATAATTATATTAGCAAAGAAACATAAAAACAATTTTTTTTTTTTTTAAAAAAAAAAAATAATAATAATAATACTTACCATTGATTCAAATCCTCTTTAAGTGCTTTATGTAAAATAGTTAATTCATTCATCTTATTGTCACCAGAAACCGATTTCTTGTATTGCCGATAACCGAAATGCCCCATTTGTATGAGTTTAACTCCAACATTACAAATCTCGTGAACCAAATCAACTTGACGAACAAATTCATCCATTATCCTGGCCTTTGCTATTTGTTCTTCTTCATTTGCATCCATTCTCATGTTTACCGCGGAAGTAGGTTTAGCAATTAACAACGCACGTCCTCTCAAATCTTGTAAGTCAGACAGAGAATAAGGCTTTACATTACTCTCTTTGGAGGGATATGTCAATGCAACAGTAAACTTTTCATCTTTGCCAACACGTTCAAATGAAAAAGTTCCTTTTTTAACAGCATTTTGAATCTTTTCTTTAGTAACTTCACCTCGATTTGAAATGTTTTTATACATATTTTGTAAAGCCATATTACAACTTGAACACAAAGTAATTTTTCCAACTAATGTAGGGTTATCGGCATTGATGGTGGCCAAATCGGCAAGAAATTTTTTAATACTTATATCTCTCGATTTCACTTTATTCATTAATTGAAGTAACAATTGTTGAACTTGAATTAATGAAGCAACAGTATCCTCTTGGTTTAATCGCTCATCATTAAAATCATCAACACTATATTTAATAAAAATACCAGAGATTAAATAAATTTTATTGTAAATAAATTATAATCAAGAAATAAATATCTACGTACCCATTAATAAGATTTTTTATATCATGTTCAGCAATACTTTTGAGGAATTCTAAAAAATCGCCAGCTTCGGATAATTCTTTAATCAAAGGCCAGCAAGTATCACTATCAATTTTAGCAAGATTTCCATTAAGATAATCAAAAAAGTTATTTAACTTTCCAAGAGTTAGAATATCATCTTGCAAAATACGTCGAGATTTTGTAAGCCAATCGTCTTTTTCATGTGGAACATCAAATATTTCAATAATTGTGAATAATTGTTCAAGACGAACAACCCAATCTGGTACAGATGCAAGTCGTTTAAGAGTCTTGACAAGGTTTTCATAATGTTTTTGGTTTTTGCTGAGAGCAACATAATTTCCCATTAATCTAAGTTCGAATTCTACATTAGTTACACCTTTCCAGAGGAAAGCGGCATCGGAACATTTTAATTTTTCCCAATCTTGACCTTTATATTGCTTACATAATTGAGCAAATCTTTCAAGTGCTTTATTAATTATCGTTTTTGTGATATCTTCAACTGTCAACGTTTCTGCTACTTCATTAAGAAGTAAATTAAAAATGTTTGCAAATGTCTGAGATTCGGAAAATACGGATACTTTTTTTGCCATTTCTATTGTTTCACTATGAAATTCCCAATGGTCAGGGCTTAAAATATCTTTGAGTCTAAGTCGAGATAACATCTTAGATTCGGTATCTATTTTTGAAAGATATTCATGCACATCCGAAACTTTTAAGGTTGAACAGAAGATCTCGTAATATATTCTAAGTTCATTTAAGGTGGACTCGTAATTTTTGCACTGATTTCTGGCCTCACTAATATCCTGTTTTGAGACAAACACCGCGTTCAATCTTTTCTTTGAATTAGGACAATCAAAATATGTGAATAGCTCTGTATCTTTATGTCTTAAAATTAACTGGAGAGATTTGATATCAATAGTTTTCTCAGCAATTAAGCCTGCCAGCTGATTAATATCATCACGTATTTGTTGAACATGGGGATGTTTATGTAATTTTTCGACATGGCCTTCTGCACGAAAAATTACCTTCCAAAATTGTCCAGAATTGAGAAGTTTCAAATGTTGTTCAGATGTTGAAGGTGGAATATAATGTGACTGTAATTTAGTCATTATACTGCATATTAAATGTTCAGATAGTCTTTATGTACAATAAATAAAATAAAATAATTGATAAAATTTAATAAAAATTAAAATGTTTAAATTTCATTATATGTGAATGATTCTTGAAATACTCACTCATAATTAATTTTTAGTCTATCCATCCTATCATCATTTGTATTACCACAAATAAATTGGATTTTATCCAAGAGTTGAGCATCAGCATTATAAACAGATTGTTTTAATATATCAACTGCTATAGTAATGAATTCCCGAACTACATTTACGTCTAGATTCACAACTCGAGTTGTTGCTTTAAGAATTCTTTGTTCTGAACATTCTCTAACTCGGGTTGTAGCAATTCTTGATAATTCATCATAGATTTTTTTTCTACCTTTAATCACTTTACAAGCCTCTGATAAATAATTGAAAACTGTAAATACAAATATTCCATCAGCAGATGAATTCTGTGATTCATTTAAACGAGTTAAAACACTACTAAACCAATCCCTGCAAATTGGTAAAACTCTTGGATTCTTAGAATCATGTACAGAATTATTAATAGCGAACCAATGTTTCAATAATTTTAAGAAAATATTTAAGATTTTGATTTCTTTTGACCGGGAAATGGCCTCCAATGCATTGAGGTGGCTGTCTGGAGACCAATACATAGACTTAGATAAAAGAAGTTTTTCAATTGAATCCAAATTATTATTTATATTCCACTCAGTACGAGGATGTTTTAGTAAATAAATAACTCTGTCGCAAAAAATTCCCGAAACATCATTTCGTAAATCCGGGAGAACTTTACTGTAATCATCGATTAAAGTACTTGCGCTTGCATCAGAATTATCAATATTGATTCTAATACGTTCGATCAAAAATTGTCGAACTCTATTACTAACATTTATGGAGCGATCAGTAATATCTTTCCACGTTGCAATAAGAAATGACATATTGCGAGAAATGTTGATCAGGTGCTATGATAGCAAAGAAAAATGAATAAAGAAAGTAATTGTAAAAAAGAAATCATCAAATTAAAATAATACTTACCTTGGCAATTTTTGTATATGCTTCTTCACCAATAAATTTCATGTAAGATTTAGCACTTTTATTCCAAAGTTTAAAAAAGTTGGCTAATTCTTCATTATTATACTCAACGCCAATGAATGAATCGACAAAAGAGAATTGAGGGTCTAAGATGCGAGCAGACTTAAAAATTCTAATCCACACGAAAGACTTAGATGTTGCATTATGTTGAACTAAACTTTGTAATACTCTCGGCATTAGTTCTAAAGTACTACTCGGTAATGTCTCATCGGATACATTTTCTAGTGCTTCAAGTAAATCGACAGATTGGAAATGTTGAGGAAGATGGATTATATGATGATGTTTTATATAATATCCAAGAAGGACGCAAAGGAAAAGTCGTTTCTCTCTTGCTTGGGAAGGGTAAAGATTATTGACGATGAAGTCAATATTAGTAACATTCCGAACGTGGTAACCATGATTTTTTGACAGCGATTGATATTGCATAATCTTGTCTTTATAATTTTTGGCGGTAACTGATTGATATATGACATCAACGAAGGCAAAATCTCTATTATTCATAAAATATTTCTTGTTATTTAACCATATGTCGTATTGATCGTTTATCGTTGTGTCCAACGTGCGATCTTGCTCATACCCTTCACCTTCGTAATCCACATAATTACGATAATTATTCCAACCTCTAAAAAATATTCCATATTTATATTTAATTTCTGGCATGTTCTCATATAACAGAAGAATATTAATGGGTTTTGATCTCCAATAATTAGGATGCCTTTGAGGATCAGGTTGTTCAAGTTTATTGTATTGTTTCCAATTTCCTAATTCGTTACCACTACCAAGAATTACTGGTTCACCCGTTCGGTCAAAGTTCGGTAAATGTACATGAAAAGTGACATTGAAAATTTCGCCATCCGAGCTGCTGCTTCCGGATCCGAAAACAAAACTACCAATATTACGCACTGCACTAGCTGCTTTATTGAAAACTCCAGATGAAGAACTGCCAGGGTCATTTGGGTGATGGTAATCATGTGTTGTTGCTTCCGCATAACTTTTTCTAGTAGAACTGACAGTGTCATCTTGTGTTATTACATTAATGCGATCATATTCATCTGGGTGATGGTAATCATGTGTTGTTCCTTCCGCATAACTTTTTCTAGTATTTGATGGATCACTAGAACTATGGTTTTCTTTATTGAAGTCCAATTCAAGAGAATGACTCATTGAGTTTATATCTAAAGGAAGACTATTTGCATCGCTGTTTTTATTACGAGATTCCGTTGGGTTATATATATGAGAACTAGTTACTATATCACTGTTTTTATTACGAGATTCCATTGGGTTACTAGTTTGATTATGAGATCCCATTGGGTTACTAGTTATTCTACCACTGTTTTGATTACGAGATTCCATTGGGTCACCAGTTATTCTACCACCGATTTGATTATGAGATTCCATTGGGTTACCAATTATTCTACCACTGTTTTGATTATGAGATTCCATTGGGTCACCAGTTATTCTATCACTGTTTTGATTACGAGATTCCAATGGGTCACCAGTTATTCTACCACTGTTTTGATTACGAGATTCCAATGGGTCACCAGTTATTCTACCGCTGTTTCTATTACGAGATTCCATTGGGTTACCAGTTATTCTACCACTGTTTTGATTACGAGATTCCAATGGGTCACCAGTTATTCTACCACTGTTTTGATTATGAGATTCCATTGGGTTATCAATTATTCTACCACTGTTTTGATTATGAGATCCCATTGGGTCACCAGTTATTCTGCCACTGTTTTGATTACGAGATTCCATTGGTTTACCAGTTATTCTACCACTATTTTGATACAACGGAATGCTATCACCACTGCTTTGATATGAATATGATGAAGTGTCACCACTAATGCCTTTCATTGGGTTTGATCCAAAATAATCGGAGCTTTTTGAATCAAGGGATAAGGGACGTGACTGGGTTTCATCACTCTCATGACCTTTACTGTCTTCGCTTTCAATTTCTTCTATCACAGGTGAAGAAATTAATGCATCCACATATTTGTCTGCTTTATCAGGATCTTTGAATTCCTCTTTAGAGCTATCTTTATCCTTGTTTTGTATAGGGGCGGCAACGTGATCAGGTTTGCCAGTGGGAAAACTTACAGGTGCATTTGTCGAATGCGAACCATATCTCGGGGTTTCTTTTTTGATAGAACTAGAACCTTTAAGATTTGGTTTTGTGAACCTGGGAATAACAGGAGGAGGAGGCGCTGATAATGGAGATGTGATAATATTATGTTGTGGTTGAGGTGGTGATTGCAGTTGTGGTGGTTGCTGTTGAGATTGTGGTGGTTGTGATTGCATTTGTGGTTTTGGTGGCTTTGTTTGTGGTTTTGATGTTTGTGGTTTTGATGTTTGTGGTTTTGGTGGTTTTGTTTGTGGTGGTGGTTGCTGTTGATATTGTTGTGTTTGTGCTGCTTGTTGAGTTTGTGGTGGTGGTGGTGGTTGATATTGTTGTGTTTGTGGTGGTGATTGATATTGTTGTGTTTGTGCTGGTGGTTGCGTTTGTGGTGGTGGTGGTTGTTGATATTGTTGTATTTGTGCTGGTGGTTGCGTTTGTGGTGGTGGTGGTTGTTGAAGTTGTTGTGTTTGTGCTGGTGGTGGTGGTTGTTGAAGTTGTTGTGTTTGTGCTGGTGGTTGCGTTTGTGGTGGTGGTGGTGGTTGATGTTGTGTTTGTGTTGGTGGTTGCGTTTGTGTTGGTGGTGGTGGTTGATATTGTTGTGTTTGTGCTGGTGGTTGCGTTTGTGCTGGTGGTTGCGTCTGTGGTGGTGGTGGTGGTTGATGTTGTGTTTGTGCTGGTGGTTGCGTTTGTGCTGGTGGTTGCGTTTGTGCTGGTGGTTGCGTTTGTGCTGGTGGTTGCGTTTGTGCTGGTGGTTGCGTCTGTGCTGGTGGTTGCGTTTGTGTTGGTGGTTGCGTTTGTGTTGGTGGTTGCGTTTGTGTTGGTGGTTGCGTTTGTGTTGGTGGTGGTGGTTGATATTGTTGTGTTTGTGCTGGTGGTTGCGTTTGTGTTGGTGGTGGTGGTTGTTGATGTTGTGTTTGTGCTGGTGGTTGCGTTTGTGATGGTTGCGGTTGTGGTATAGATTCATTTGAATCCTTTTCATGAATACTTTGACTATTTGGATTTGAATCTACAACTTGCGTGAGTTCGTTATTTTTTAAAACGGTATTACTATTTAAAACTTCCCCTGATGTCGAAGGGTTTTGATATTTTTTAGGTTTTGGAGGAACTGGAGGTTTAACCTTTGAAGACTTTTTGACAGTTGCGGGTGAATAATTCCCAGTGGAGGGTTGTTGCTTATTAATTGCAGAAGAAATATTATCACCCGTATTATTAGATTTGCTCGACTCGGTTTGTTTATTTAGGACCTTGAGAGTAGATGAAGAGCTACTATTTGGTGATGCAGTTGAGACTTTGTCATTAGAAATGTCCGGTTTATATTTGGGAGTGCCAGATGATTTTAAATTAGGATAATCTGTAATCCCAGATGAATCGCGATCCTGACTCTGAGATTGAGCGACATCAGTAACTCCTTGAGGTTGGGATTGAGCGACATCGGTAACTCCTTGAGGTTGGAATCGAGAGACATCAGTAACTCCTTGAGGTTGAGGTTGAGATTGAGCGACATCAGTAACTCCTTGAGGTTGAGGTTGAGATTGAGCGACATCAGTAACTCCTTGAGGTTGGAATCGAGAGAAATCAATAACTCCTTGAGGTTGAAATCGAGAGAAATCAGTAACTCCTTGAGGTTTTTTATCATTGTCTTGACTCTCAGGTTTGGGTAGTGTAGCATCCGTAACTTTTGTTTCCCCAAAAGTCAAATCGCCAATTTGATATTGAGAGAAATCGACAATTTCTTGTTGGAATTGATTAATTTCTGTCTGATTGATTCCTGTAACTCCTTGAGGTTTTTTGTCATTGTCTTGACTCTCAGGTTTAAGTTTATGTAGTGTAGCATCCGTAACTTTCGTTTCCCCCAAAGTCAAATCGCCAACTTGATCAAGCGATTTTGAAAAAGGTGCACTTGTAATCCCTGATTTATCTTGATCAGTATTTACCAAAGGTTTATAATCAACACCGTGACGCTCTTGAATTTTATTATCAACTTCAGGGACAAAAATGAATGATTCACTTCCAGTAAATCTATCGTTTTCTTGATTAAGAGATTCAACGGAAGTTATTACAGACTTAGAATCGTTTTGAGTTTTCGATTCATCTTGATTTAATGATTCATTTTGAATTATGCCAATAGGGGGACTAACTACACTAACATCTTTTTGACTTTTAAGTGAAAATTGATAAACTTTAACTGACTTAGAGTCTAGGTTGTCAGATGAAGTTAACTTCTCTGAAGTATTTTCGTTATTAGTGTTAGTTATTATAGATTGAGCACTAGAATATTCAGAAATTCCTTCGGAATCTTGTAAATCAGGTTCTTGCGATTTTGACGAAATATTCCTAATAGAATTTTCATTTTCATTTTCATTTGGAATGATATTCTCTTGAGAAGGAATACTCATTTTTTTCTATTAAAAATTTCTTTAAATTTGTAATGGCCAGTTTTGATAAGATATAAAAATCTGATACAGTGAAACTCTTATATTAAAAGTTTAAAAATTTATCTCATTTACAACGTTTTGTTTGAAATTCAAAAAAAAAAAAAAATAATAATAATAATAATAATTAACTCTTAAGAAAATAATTCGGAAATTTTAAAAATACATTCCGAGTTGATTCCACTTGGTTGGACGGTATCATTGGTTTTGTTTTCAAATATGACTATTTACTCTTATTTGGTTACACACTTTTACTAAAATCATATTTACAATAAAACTTTTGAGGAAAGCAATTTGGCTATTTTAGATCACATTTTATCGATTTTAGTTGATTAAATTAGAAACAATGGTCAAAAAAAGATTAAATGTGATCTAGAAGGAAATTTGGCAGAGAAAAGGTAATGATTTATATGATCATTGGTAATTTGTTTCGATATTAAAAATTGAGATATTCGAAGAGGTATTATCTAACATGAAAGAATTCCCTAGTCCTACCAGATTGGGTATAGTTATTTTGATCAGAAGATCAAATGTGAGAAAAGTTATGAGACAAAAGAGGTTAACGCTTCTCAGATAGTAATTATTTCTTACTGTTATGAAAAATGGCAAATGATAGTAAAAAGATACTGTATTAAATATTTTTTAGTAGACAAAAATATGAACATTGTGAGATCATTAAATAGTCATGTAACCTCTTCATATAGATGTTTATTGGTTATTTAAAGGAACCTTGTTAAATAAAACAAAAGATATGATTTAAAGTTGGATTATTAGAATGTAAGAAATGTTCGAGGATTTGAAGGATCTAATATGATCTAATGAAAAGAGAATATTAAATATAAAAATCAACACGGAAAATTCAGAATAATAAGATTTGTTATTTATTTTATTTATTTTCAATTTTTGACCAGAAAAGGCATGAATTACAGAAGTAAAGTTTAAAGTTTATATTTCAGTGATCTACGATCTGAGATCATTTTGTATCACAAAGTAAACTTTTAAAAAACAATTCTCTTTTTCTCTTCCTTTTTTAAACAGTAAAAATTTTTTTTCTTGATTATCACCTATCCTTTCTTCACCATGGTTTATGAAGATTAGATATTCTAAATAATTATAATAAAGTAAATTATTATTCCGCTTTTTAAAATTTTGAATGATCCGTTTTCTAACTTTTTTCACATTCCCATTACCGCGTAACACTGAAATGCTTGAACATCATCATTATACTGACTTTTGGCACTTGATACTAATACAATATGCTCATGAGCTCTAGGCATTAAAGCTGCTTCGATTATTTATATTAACTTGATATTTTTTTTTTTTTTTACAAATAATATCGAGTTATTAAAAAAAGATTACCAAAATTCATATTCAATAAGGATTAAAAATTTTGATAATATAGTTTTCTGTGATGATATTTATTAGTCAAAATCCTTATTGTTTTTAAAATTCAACCTCTCCTTCCAGATAAACACTGTCATTTTTGTTCTTTTGCTCTTTGAGATTTATAATCTTTACACCCATTTCTAGATTGATCATTATCACCACAAGTTATATAAAGAAAATAGAATTTGCTATTTTGAATTATTATTATTATTAAATATTAAAATTTAATAAAAAAGTTGGAAATCATCCGTTACAATTGTTATGCATATATTAAAGTTAATTCTACAATTGTTATACATACAATGATCACCTATATTACTAAAAAAAAATATTTATATTAGAAAAGTAACAGTAGACACGTGTTTTTAATAGTTACTTCGCGTTTTCACTTTTTTATATTTATTTTTATTTAACAATATTATAATGTTCTTTGGTTATTCGGCTTGGTTTAGTTCTACAGTAGATAAAGAACTACGCGAGCATTGGGGTAACATACGTTATAACAATATTCAAAATTTTTTTTTTTAGAAAATTTTCTAAATAAATCTTTATTCAGTTAGTGCAAATGGCCAAGTAGCAAAAGATGACGAAATAATTGACTTTTTTTTCAGCTGTGATCTAGAAGAGACGGATACTAAAAGGTTTATTAACCTTTTTACTAAATTTTCAAATTTTCAAGTTTTTTTAACTTATTATTTTATTATTTATTTATTTTATTTTTTTTTAAAAAAATAATAAAGGTTTTTGAATAATAAAAAAAGAGTACTTCACCCAAGTTGGATCACTGACTCTATTGCAGAAAACAAACATCAATCATATGATAACTACATCCTTAAAAATATTAGTAAGTTCAATGAACTATTTAATTTATTACATTTATTCAAATAATTTAAACTATAGAAAAAATAATAATGAAATAATTAAGGTTTTAACGACAAAGATGATCATATCGTTGCGTCATCCACACCTGAAAAAACCGATCAATATTTCTTGCCACGTAAACGCGCGAGAAAAATAAATGAATCACCCTATTATTCCAGAGAATCATCTTTTTCTAGAGAATTATCCTTTTCTAGTGAATTACCCTTTTCTAGAGAATCTCCCTCTTCTAGAGAGTCACCTTTTTCTAGAGAATCGCCTTTTTCTAAAGAATCACCGAACACTGGAGAATCGTTGTATACTGGGGAATCGTTGAATACCGGAGAATCGTTGAATGCCAGAGAATCCTTGAATATTAGAGAATCCTTGAATACCAGAGAATCGCAGAATAATGTTCTTGATGATTCATCTAATACTAGTCGTCCTCGTAAACTGCCGCCTTCTTTTAATGTCATCAAAAAATCAAGGTTAGAATTTTTGTTGTTATATATTTGATTATATTCTTTTAAATTCATTATATTTTAATAAAGATCAGCAATTCCGATTGGAGTTGAAGACTATGATTATTTTGTCGAAGATTCGGATGATTCGGAAGATTCTGGGTTAGCGTCTTATTTATGCCCATATAAAATATTTGTATACGTCATTAAATTTATATATTTTATTATTTTTTTATTTTTATTATTATTTTTTAGTCGCAATAGATCAACCGAAACAAATTCAATGGAATATCATTGCGAATGGCAAGTTCAGATTTTATTGAATCAAAATTTTTAGTTTATAGAGTTTTGACGCGTCTTTTCCTCAAATCAGTGGAAGAACGATTTCGCTAAATAAATTATTGGACAAGGGGCAAATATTCACGAAGTAAATAATTATGCTACTTTTCTTCTTTTACATTTGTAAAATATTGAAAAATATTGGAGAATTCTAATTTTTGTTTTCATGAATACAAGTGAAAGTTTCAGAAGTGAAATTAGTGAAACCAATGAAACTACTATTGGACGAGAACCGATAGAATCTATACGTCTTTCACATATTTCTTCTAGAAGTCTTATCGAAAAATCAATCAAATATATTCATTTAAATAATCCAAATGGAGAATTATTGGATGACGTCTGTGAATTTATCCCTGGACAAAATGATTTCACAGTAACAAGAAATTCAACCGACAAAATCCGTAATATTCGGAGACATAATAATACTGGTGTTAATCATATCAAAATAAAATAAAAAATTATTATTATCATTATTATTATTATTATTAATTATAATACAATATTCCAAAAAAAAAAAAAAAAAATTTCTTTTGATTTTTACTTTTTGAAGCTATTTCCTCTGGTAGTGGTTTACGTTTATCCCTTAAATCATATATGTAAATTTCTATTAAGGATTGATTATTTAATTAATTAAAAAAATATAATTAAAAATATATACTGTATATATATATAATATCTTAAAATTAATATATATATTAAAGAAAGGATATTTAGACATTCCATCCGCAGTATAAATCACAACTGCTTTACAACATGTTTGATGACTTCTGCTGCTGGCATCATTTGAGATTGCGAATGCATGAATTTCTCTCGGTAAGCATACCAAATATCTGTTTGTAATACTTTATCAAAGGTGATTCAATATAATATAATTTTAACCTAGTAATAAATTTAGATGTTTTAGATATTTTTATGTTTAAATAAAATATTGTTTTTTAAAAAAAAAAATATTTACCATTCTAGAGTTCTATAGGGCTCGAGATAAGTTTCAAAGTCTCCACGAATAAAATGTGGATTTTTTTTTCACCTGATGTTCTCTGATCATTTAAAAAGTCCTTATCATTTGCTCCGTGACGTAAAAAATTTATTAAAAGTCGAACAAAATGATAAAACCAATATAGTACCGCAAGTATTAACTCGATAAGTAATAATTGTAATAAACGTTGTACAGTTGCGGGATCTATCTCTCCATTATATTCATTGGAAGCTAAATTTGTCATGGAATTAACTGCCAATAAAACAATTAAACTATCTTTAGAATAAAGTAATTTAAGTAGGGTTGTGATAAGTTCATTTTGGCTATTCTTTAATCTTATATTTCGTGATATATTTACCACTGTCTCTAGACAATAATGTTTAAGTTCACATAATTGTTCAATCTCCGGTAATAAGTGAGCTTCAATTAAATATTTTCGTAATGTTTTATGTCCTGCCATAAATTTGACGTTATAATCATTAAGTGAAACGTTTCGAAACACCAAAATATCTGTAAAATTCATTTCAATTGATCGCCTTTTGCTGGTGAACTTAGATATTCATTAACCATCAATTCATAAGATGATCACTCTCATTTGCATTGTCGATGGCTAAAATGCTACCGGATTCAATTCCTGTAAGCTTTCGTACATCCTTATATAAAGGGGATACAATTCAGGAATTTTATCCAAATGAAAATTGACCGTTTCATCTGAAGATAATTGAACCAATATTTCAAACGCCCACTCAATCTCATTTTCTAATTGAGATCTTAATGTCCTCCTCCAAGAAGAAATCCTACAATATAAATTAAAAAAAATATATATATTTTTTAGTAATTAATTTAATAATATATATATATTTATATGTTTTTTTATTCATGACATAAATTATTCATTATTATTTTTTGATGGTGGTTTGGTCAATAATTCCGATTTAATTATGTTTTTACTCAAATTCTTTAGAATCGATGCCTTGGAATAAGTAAAATATAATACCATATTCTTCTTCCTCATCATAATCGTCTTCTTCCTCAAGGTCTCGCATTTCCAGTGGTAAAGCTCCCTGACCGATTGCTTGCGTCATACTTGGTGGATCGTAATGGAACCGGAGTATTTGCATTGTATGTTTGTCCAGGAGTCCCAGGTTCTGAATAAGATGCTAATAATAAACATTTACATAAATATTAATAAAAAAAATTCTCAAGATTGATTTTTTTTTTTGATTAATTAAATATTAACCTTGTATGTTATCTGTCGGTATAGGTCTTCGAGGTGGTGTTGACATATCAGTTAAATATTGTGAAGCAGGTGATTGGTTCGGGTGAGTCACTTGAGGAGTAGGTGTTGTTTGATTTCTTGACGGAAGACCACCATATGGTACTCTCTTACCCCCAATGTTTTTCCATTTCATATACTTCCAAAAATTTAATGTATACATTTTTCATCACATATGCAAGTTGCGGGAAAATTAAACGACTCACAAATCTTTTTCCAGGATTTCTCTAAACAAATTTTTAATAGCCACCCATTTTCGATTACCATTTTATATATTCTATACGGATCTAATTTCTTGGAACCAAGAACCGGCTCTTTTTTGTAAAGGAGTACTGTATAACGAAAATATCGTTAATGTTTCAATTATATCAAGCAATGAAATATATATAAGAGCGGTGTTTATGAATTTTTTACCCATAGTTTTTATGAAATTCTTTCATAAAATCATAATATTCCTGGGTTCTTTCGATGCTATCTTCTACAAGCTTTATAGGACGGGAAGTATATCTTTTTAAAGGTTGATGAAATTCTCGTTTGTTCTGGTGATTCTGGCACGTTTTACTCGTTTTAATGTATAAAGTTTATTCAATTTATTGGAAGTAAATACGAATAAGTCACGTCAAAAGCGCGTCAGTTGTCAAAGAAAATTAACAATGTATATATGCGAATTAGTGTAACTGCTTTTTTAATTTTTTTTTTTCAGTGCTAATTGCGATCAACGTCAGCTCTATTATAACGTACAATAATAGAATATTATCGGTTGAAGTTAAAGCAAAAAGATATAAGAAAAATTCTAGACCGTATAAAAAAAAAAAAGTAGAAGGCTCTGATGAATTTTCGATGAATGGAAGGTAAATGTGTTTGAATAAGAGTCTAGTCCAACAGTATATACACTCCCCTAGCAAAAGTATTTGTGGAATGATAAAATTCGAAAATAATTGCTAAAATTAAAATGCTAATTGTGGTGATCTAAATTGTATCAACTTTTTTTACTAAACTAGGCTATCATATGATAGAAATCGAACACCTATACATAGAGATATTACGCTTAAAATAAAACTGACAAAAAATAATAAATTTATTCTTAGATCGTTACCTATACCGCATTCGATGGGTATTAAAGATAGATACCAACTATCTTATACGAAATTGTAGCTAAAAATAATATCTACAATTTTAATTATTAACGTTTCTCGGTACCTAATAAAAATTTTGACTTCACTTAGACGTGAATAAAAACGACCGAAATTTATTAAACTCAATTCTCAATTTAAAAATCCGAAATTTTCACAGTAGATACTCCATATTTTAAACTTTAGCTGTATTTAGTACCATTTTTATTGTTATATTAATAAACAAAGAAGTTTTTATATGTGGTTCCGATTGGTAATTATTTTTCGGATTTTTTTTTTAATTTTTTAAAAATGATTGACACATATTTACTACATTAAAGATTCGAAAATAATTACAAAACTTTTGTTTTTAATGAAAGTTAAACTAAGTAACATTAAAGATAAAAATTGAATACATCTGCTGAAAAGTTTTAAATTTTTTAACAAAATTTATAATATCGTTTGAATTTTAAAGAAATTTTTTGAGATCATTTTAAAAAATCAAAAAAAAAATCCGAAAAATAATTACCAATCGGAACCTTATATGAAAACTTCTTTATCTATTAATATAACAATAAAAATGGTATTAATTACAGTCAAAGTCTAAAATATGGAGTATCTCTGTGAAAATTTCGGATTTTTAAATTGAGAATTGAGTTTAATATTAACGGTTGAATATCGAACATTTCAAAACTATACTCTAAAGTTTAATCGTGTATTGTTCTCTCAATTCTCATTATAAAGGCAAAAAGTTTTACAAAAGATACTCCATATTTTAGGCTTTAAGGTTACTTGATTATTATTAACTTAACGATAAATGTGGTATTAAGTTTTTCAGGTATAAATGATCGATATAATTATTTTCGAATTTCTTTATTTTTTTAAAATTTTATTAAATTTCGGTCGTTTTTATTCACGTCTAAGTGAAGTCAAAGCTTTTATTAGGTACTAGAAAAACGTTAATAATCAAAATTGTAGATATTATTTTTAGCTACAATTTCGTATAAGATTTATTATTTTTTGTCAGTTTCATTTGAATCTATGTATAGATGTTCAATTTTATCATCTTATGATAGCCCTAGTTTAGGAGAATCTAATAAAAAGAAGTTCGTACAATTTAGATCACTCATTGTGCCACAATTAGCATTTTAATTTTAGCAATTATTTTCGAATTTTATCATTCTACAAATACTTTTGTTAGGGGAGTGTAAAGAAACCTTCTATAATTACAGGGTTTGTATAGTCACCCTTTGGAACAATCTTTATAAAGTCTCTATATTTAGTCAATTTTAATTATAGCCACACTTTTTATTTTATTCAAGAAATTTAAATTGAATTAATTTCATTCAAAATTACTGTCTTCACTTTCTTCATTAAATCACGAATTAATCTGAATGAAGATACCAATTTTTTTTTTGATTTATAGCATTTGCAGTAATTTCCATTCTACCAAACAATAATCTACAAGTCTTTCCTAAATGAACAATTTCACCCGATAATCTTCTTCATTACAATTGCTTTAGAACAGTATGCAGTAAAACGTAATCTTGTTATTTAATGAAAAATATTACTTAAAGAAAAATACATTGCATGAAATCCAAAAACAATTTCTATTTTTTTTTTATTTTTTATTGCATCATTGCTCAAAAATCAATAAAAATTAAATAAAGGTAATACCAATTCAAAATAATTATTCCACCGTCAATTTTTTTATAAAAAAAAAAATTAATTTGATTTATCATTATTTATTTAAATACCCTAGCACGAATTTGGGGGAGGTAATGCCACGCCAATTAATTTTTATATTTTTGATTTAATGTTGAGGAATATTAATACATTAAGTGGTCTTTGCTAACTTTTTTAAAAGAAATATGGATTTCAATCAATTTTTTTAAAATTTGTAGTGCAAGTTTTTATAAGCCAGAAAAGTTAAAACTTTATTTTTTAATATTTCTCTTTCCACACCATTTTTTAAAAAAAATAAGTTTATATTTTTTTTATTTCCAAATAAAGAAAAAATACCACGCACGAAAATAAAAATTTATTTTTATTAAAAAATCCAATAACATGGAAATTATTTTATGAGCGAGATGGTGATCGTCAAAGGAATATACTGCAAAGTTTCAGGTGATGCACCATAGCTATACCCAAAAAAAATTACAAAACGAAAATAAAAAAAAAATATATATATATTTATTATATAAAAATGAATAAAAAAAGTTTTATAATTTTTCAATATATTCTCATTACGAGGAAGATGGAGTGTGTTAAATATGTGCTTGTCATTTAATTTTAATTTTATTTTTATTATTTAATTTATTTCTTTTTTAGCAAAAATTTATAGAATAAACATTAAATACAAGAAAAGATTTCAATTAAATTTATAGTATGATGGTTGTGATAATTAATCATGAAAAGATAAGAATTTTAATTAATATAAGCTTATTTTAGAATTAGTAATCAAAATTAAAGCTTACTAACTTGATGTACTGTATTTTAGTATATTGTATAAATTTATATTATAATTGTAATACTAAGAATAATTATTCGATGAACAAAATAAAATAAATTACATTACAAGCGAGAAAAAAAGAATGTTGACGGTTAATGAACTTGAACCATAATAATATAGCATTATTAACATTATCATTACATTGTAATTATTTTTTTCAATATCAACATCATTGACATTCGCTTGTAATGTGATAATAATGACCACACCAGCCATGACAATGGTAATAGTAATAATAGTAAAAATATTTTGACTCTTCACAACATTTACATACTCCCCTTAAAACTTTGATATACTAGTACACGAAGAAAAAAAAAAATTCACAAATTATCTATAAATTATTTAAAGAAAATACAGGTGTGGGGCCTATTAGAGAGAATGGATGTGAAATATTTTTCACAAAAGAACTTTTTAATCATACATTTGAATAGAAAAAATAAAATATAAACATACAAAATGAATACAAGTTAATATTATATAGTAAAATACAAAAAAAAAAATTTCTAATTATTTAAATTTTTCTAACAATTTTAAATACTTTATATTCTACAATAGAAAAGTGATCTGGTGGTGTTTTTATGGGCTTTTCATAACATTCACCTTTATCGCTACAATAATTTCTATTATCTAAAGTAAAATCAGACATATAAATGAAAATCTCCAAACCGTGGACAATATCTATTTTGAAAAAACTTGCTTACATTCATAATTGCATGTTTGAATCTTTTTACTCTGCTTAGAATTGAATTTTGAATATTACCATTTTTTAATGAGAAAATGAAACTATCCTTTGTTTCATCCATTTACCTGTACAACCATTATAAGTATTGTCCCAAGCTAAAGTATTATAGCCTCCAAGTATCTCATCAGTTCCTTTAACTTTTGCTACAACCACTATATCAGTTTGACCATGGCAAATATTCCAAAATGTTTGTAGATCAAACCCATCTCTAGTTCCAGATAAAATTAATTCAAATTTATATGGAATATTTGCTGTTGAATGAACAGTTGTTTAACGATCAATCCAGGTTGAAATTTCTGCTGCATATTCTTCAGAAATAATATTAAGAAAGGTTCTTCGGTACGGGGAGGTAATTCCGTAACCAAAACTGTTCACGCTGGTAAAATATAGGATTTTACTGATCGGTCAGGAACTGCCGTATGTTGTACAATATCTTCCCAAAGTTGTTTATCAAGAATCTTTCTATAAGGGTTAATTTTATCGATAATTTCGGCGTTTGAAATATGAAAGTAACGAATAAGTGGTAGACATTGTTGTGAAGTGATTTTTAACGTAAGAAAATCTTCCTTGGATCATTCTTCAAGGTTTGTAGGGAGAGTAAGATTTTGAGCAATTCCCCATTTGATGATATAATCCCAAATTTTTAATTGAAGATCATCTCGCTTGAGAAGAGATACTAATGCAGATTCCGGAAGAGAAATAAAATCAGAGTTTTCAAAGATAAGACTTGGATGCTTTGCAATAATATCATTACAATAATTTTCTAAGTTTTTAAAGTTGTTTTCGTTAAAAATAGT